TAAAACATGATCTCCCATCTACCAATTTTTTTCCCATTTTTATACTCTCCATTATAGGAAACTTGTGAGTATTCCCAAAATCCAACACTTAATTCTATCCATTTTCCATTCTTTTCACCCTACTTGTTGTATTCTCCTCCACCACTATTCATAAATAAAAATCTTTAATACAAGTCTTTTTCCTCATAGATATAATTCCAAGCTCCTATTCGTAAATTATTTTCATATTATCCTACTTCATAGGCTTCCGCTTTACTGGTTTATAATAAATATTGGTTTTTTACCTCCAATAATTCTTAATCAACTCTATCCAAAGTCCTTATTTTTGTCCAGTTTAAGAGTACTATCCACCAACATCTTTTAAAATATTTCCCTTCCATTTTAAAATCCATTTTCCAACTTTTTTATTATTTTTATTATATTCTCCTACCCATTACAAATGTTATATTTATTCTAAATTCGTTAATATTTCAGGTTTTGTTGATATATCTTTGATAGGATCTCTATTAAGATTATTAATATGTGAACAATTACATTCTTATGGCTAATCCATCTTTTATGTATTTTAATTTATTATCTTAAGTAATTACTGTTTAAAATTTGTTTGAAATCATTTGAGACCAAACTCTATCCCATACAAAGCCTAAGACTTCTTATTTTTCCTCTTTCTATTCTACTTATTACTTTTTTTTTTCTCCTGATTTTATGCTTAATATTTAATAAATTCTTACTTAATAATTGAAAATATCTCCCTCATTTCTTCTTAACACTTATTACTAAAAATATTCATCTATTCGGTTAGCCTCTCTTTACTTTAAACTAATTATTGTAAATAAGTATTCTTTTAGGTATTCCAATCTTCCAAAATATTGCTTTCCAATAATTGCACCAAATTATCTAAATCAGGACACTACGATTCTGCTGGATGTTAATTACTAGTAATGAGATTGACATAAGATTTATCTTTATCTTCAATCTTACCAAATATGTAATTTATAGAATCAATCAATTGAACAAACACTTTTTTAATCATCTATTCTGATGAAGATATAAGAGATTTAAAAGCAATTTTTATCTATTCATATTTTGAGTTATCATTTAGTTTATAATTTTCAATTAGTTTATCTAGTCGATCTAAAAAAACATCAAATGGAAGACATTATTAAATTGTGATTTCATGATTATACAAGCATTTAAAACAAAGCTTCCTTTAACATTTATGTGGTGCAATACATATTCCTGTAATTGGACATTATGGGTGTGAGAAGCAATAATTCATTTTATTAAAATTATTCTATTTCTATTATTGTCTATAAAGGAAATTTAGATCAAGAAATTTATATATATTATAAAGTGTTAGATAAGATAATTGATAAATATTAAATTTAACAAACATACTTTTTTACTAAAGCTATTTTCTTAAATTAAGTTCAAAAAAAAAATATCTGAACAATGGATAAGAGTTAATTCTACTTTAGATTGATATAAGAATGTTTTATACTAAATCAAGCAATTAATAAGTGATTATAATATTTTATGATGATAATCTCAAAATAAATTAATCAATATTATAATTTTTGATAAACTTACAATATATTATTAAATAGTATAGACTTATTTTCCATAAGTCAGATAATTAGGAATGTATATTAAATATTTACAGGCTAATGAGGGGATACTATTATAACTCTATTTAAGCTTTTTCATAATAGAAAAGAATCACGTCTCTGTTTATTTGCAAATTATATTCAAATAAGATGAATAAGAATATTATATATTTTTTCATTTTCCTATGATCTCAAGAAAATACACTTTAGAAAATCTAATCTAGATTTATTTTAAAATATATCTTTTTCTTGATTATTTTAATGAATAATTCTTTTTTGCTGTTGAAAGTTTTTAAGTATTATATTACTTGATAGATTGAATTAATCATTTTATAACAAGTGAATTTTAAAATTATTTTCAGTTTTTAACTAAATTCCATTGCATAATAGATCAACTATTTTCTTTAAGATCAGAATGAGATAAATCCTCAATTAATTGTAGATAAAATCTATTTTCTTCTTCCAATCTAAAAACAATTGTTTAAGAATTTATTAAAATCTTCTTCTAATCATATAATAAAGGATTAATTGAATCTTTATATTATTTTTTTGATTATTAGGGTAAATACAAAAATAAATTTCGATATAAGGAATAAAATTTCAAATATTTTTTAAAATTTTTAATGGATCACATTAAGCTTTTAAATAAAAATATCTAGCTTATGCTTTTCTTCCTACTTAAAGTAAATAATCTCCTAAATTTTATTAACAAATTAATTTACCCATATCATCATAACAGAAAAAAAAATCTGGATTAATTTTTAAAGCTTCTTAAAAGCAAATTATTGTTTCATCATATCGTTATAATTAATTTAATAAATTCCCTAAAATATGAGTATTTGATATATTAAAGATACCTTTTCTGAGATATAATTTATAATCACTTGGATTTAATTCAATGGCTTTATTATAGTAATATATGGCTTCTTCCTTTTAATTCAACTCATATAATGCCAATCCTAAGTTCATTTGTATTAATTTCATAAATAATTACCTTTATTTAAATACAAATGATAATCGCTTGGGTTTACCTTTATTGCTAAATCATATTGCTAAATTGCATTTGAATATTATTTTAAACGAAATAATGCATGGCCTATTACATATAATTTAATAAATATAATTACCTTTTCTTTCGTAAAAACAATCATCATTTGGATTTAATTTTATTGCTTTATCATAGCATTCTATAGCTTCCTAAAATCGATTTAATTCAATTAAAGCAAAACCTATAATCATATATTATATAATAGAATTACCTTTATTGGCAAAATTACTAGCATTTTTAGAATATAGTTCGATTGCCTTATCATAATAATCTACTGCTTTTTTATATTTTTTCAATTAAATTAAAATAAAACCTATCATGATTATTTTAAATTTGAATACCTGTATTAGAGTAGACATTTTCATCATTTGGATTTATTTTAATTGCTTCATTATAACATTCTATCGCTTCGTAATACTGATTTAATACATATAATGCTCCACCTGATTTGATTAATACAATATTTACCTTTATTTATATAATTGATATCATCTTTTGGATTTAATTTAATTGCCTTATCTAAAAATTCTATGGCTTCTTAATGTCGATTTAATTCAATTAATGCATCACCTTAAAGATATTCATATTTAACTATATACCCATTTTAGAATAGGCTAAATAATCATTTGAATTTTGTATTATTGCCTAATTGAAAAATATAAGTGATTCTTCAAATAGATTCTAGTTGAATAATTCCAAACCTATTTTCAATTTTCATATTTTGATTACCTTTATTCATATAACTTTAATTATTATTAAGATTGATCTAAATGGCTTTTTTATCATATACTTTCAGCTCTGAATGCGAATTATGATTATTGTCAAATTTCTAAAATTATTACTTAATTTATGTTTATCCTAATATTTTGATACGTTAATTACCTTTTTAATTGTAAGAGATATCATTTTTATCTTTTTTTTAATGATAATAATGATTTAATAATGGTACTTTCTGATTTTATTTTGTTATTAAAGTTTCAGTTGATTATGCAAACAATTCTTTGTTTTTTGAATTTTCAATTTGCTGAGCTGGTTTAATATTATTCTATTTTACTATCTATTTATTCTAAGGGTTGTTATTATTTTAAGATACTTTGTTAAATTTCATAATTTAATTATGAAAATAAGATATTTACATTTAAATAAATTCTAATTAATATATAATTTGAATCCATTCATTACCGATAAATATATACATATAATTAGTTGAAATATACTTATTAAAATTTATGTATATACATAAAACATACATGTTTATAATTTCCCTTTTATTTTTTTTGGTTCAAAGTGTGATCTAATTTAATTTATTTTTTTAATCTGAAGTTAAGTGGGCAAGAAAATTATGAATTTTTCTGAAGTATTACAGCAGTTTAAATTATTCTTATTTTCTATGGTAATGCTGAGAAATATTTAAATTTAATGTCATGAAATTGCTATCTGCTCTCATATCTCTCAAATTAGAGGATTCTTTCAACTTCCTGATTGTTTTCCAAAAGTTATTCACTCGATATTTTTTAATAATTAAGCAATAGGTTTTCCACTAATCACAAAAATTCATTCATTTAATGCTAATTACTGATATAATTATAAATTTTGTTTAATTACTTGATTCTATTTATAAAATTGTAAAAATATTTCATATAATATCAATTTAAAAATAGTAATCTAATATACTCTAAATATGATCTTATTAATTTGATTTAGTATTTTATTTCTTAATTATATCAATAGATAAGAAAAGAATTTGTTAGCAAATAGTAATAAAATTCATTTTATTTCACTAGGGATTTAATAAAAATAATTCTGTTTGCATTACTAAAAGAAATAAGAATCAATTATCTTGTTCATACTATTACTATGCCTAATTTATAATAATCCAGTCTTTTCTATTATAACTCTTATATTAAATAACAGCTTAATATAGAATGTAAATTATTATTTAGTATATAGTTTATAAAAATTGAAATTATATCATTAATCTTAGTAAAATAATATAGAATTATATTATAACTTATTTAAAAAGATATTTAATATTAAAAATTATCATTCAGTACAATTTTAAACTAATAATTTAATTGTTTGAGAAGTACTTTTAATAATAATAAATCATTCTAACACCTTGAATGAAGTAGGAACTTAATTATTATTATTCTAGAATACTTTAAGTATTGATTAAGCTATTCTCCTTATTTGTCAATTATAATTTGACATATATCCCTATTTGAATACATAATATTGATGTCATAAAAAAAATACAATTCCATCCAAAAGATTACCAAACTTATTATGTAAAATTTGAAAATTCAAAATGGCTGATTCATACTTTTATAGTATAATGCTGGTCGTCATATGAAGATGTAATATTCTTTATAAAAGAATTCTGAAATTATAACATATTAAAACCTGTTAATAAAGTATTTAATTGTTAAATAGTCTATACTTGATTAATTCATTATTTAAAATGGAGATATCATTATCAATATTCCAAGTTTGACAAACCAAATGTTTCCTGTTTAAGATTCATAATAAAATTTAAATTTGATTGAATATAGAATTTAGGGTTTAGCCTTTTGATTATAATTTCGATTGATTTTTAATGATATCTTGTGTTAAAATGTAATTTGGGTGAACTTGCCTATAACAATTTTCAATTACATTAATACTAAAAGAGAAATCTAAACTATGTTAATTGTTGCAGTATCAATAATATATATTTATTTTATATGATCATTTGTGACTTTTGTAGAAAACTTGTTTAAATTGTTAGAATTCAGTATTTAATCAATAAATCCTGAAAAATCAACAATATTTTAGATGAAAATAAATTAATCAAATCCAAAAAGTAAAAGTAGGTTTGTAAATTATGGGAATTTTGTGTTAATGCATTTCAAATAAGATATGGTTTTAATAATTGTAATTGATCTATTTATTATAAATCTATCTTGTTTTAGATATGAATATTAAATAATCTTTAATCTAATAACTATTAGTAATAAACATAGGAACAGTATAATATAATTAAAATAATCTAATAACAAAGTAAATTTAAGAATTTCCAATTATTTATAATTATTGTTTTTGATAATTTGGTGCAATATTATATAGATATTAAATCTAACTTTTATTTTTTATATTTTTACATTTTCTAATTTTATATAAATAAAATGAAATTACTAACTTTTATGTATGGTTAAATTTAATAGCTAATTTTTATTCTTAAAATTGATCAATCCACCAGGACAAGCATAACTTAATGAATAAGGAATTTATAATAGATTACTTGAAAATATAATAAAATTAGAATGAACCAATCAATACTTTAGACACTTTAATTAATTAAAAAGAGATTTAAGCTCAATAGGGTAATAGAAGATATACATATTTTTAAAAAACAAATAATATATATAAATATATGTTCATTTAAATAGCTTAAGGTCTACTTTCTCAATTAAAAAACAATTTCAATTTATTTGAAATATTAAAGAAAATCTCTAAGATGATTAAGTAGAAAAGAATTGAAAAAATTATATCCCATTAATAGAAAATAAACACTGTTATTAAATATGAATTCTATATTAGAAAATAGTTAGAATATTTATGACCTATATATCTATAAAGAATAAAAATATAAAATACTTTTGAGTATTTATAATAAATGGAACTTTTATATTAGTTATAAGATATAAATCAGAAGAGGAATGAATTCATCAAGAGTATTAATTTTCTATTTAATTAATTTTAGAAATTAAGGTAAATAAATTTTTGTATATATAAGAATAATCAATTTTATGATTTTGTCTTTTATTAA